CACGCACGCACGCACGCACGTGTACTTGCACACGCACGTGTACGTGCACACGCACACATGCACGCACGTGTACGCACGCACGCACGCACGTGTACTTGCACACGCACGTGTACGTGCACACGCACACATGCACGCACGTGTACGCACGCACGCACGCTCGTATACGTGCACACGCACGCACGCACGCATGCACGCACGTTTACATACACACGCACGCACGCATGAATGCACGTCTTATTCACTGGCGATTTAATCGCCTAGTGTGTCCACTCGACTCGTGCGATAGAATCGGGTGATTTAGTCGCCCGATTTAGTCGTCCGATTTAATCACCTAGTGTGTCCGGCCCTTTAGTATCAAGAGCTCATAATAGAGAGATCTCTATTATGAGCTCATGTTAGTATTCAGCTTCACAGACATGATTTAGGACTCTCAGAAAGTTGTCATGATAGTGTAATTCACATTTTTAATTTTTTCACACATTAATTAATTACAATTCACACATTAATCTTTTATCTCAGTAACTCTTATAAACCTGGTACATTTTAGATAATGCCCAAGATATATAGTTGATGTGAAATGTCATGGTTATGATTAGAAATAGTATATTTACTGATGTGCAATACCTATAGCGGTGAACTATAACGGAAGATAGACTTCTTACCTATAGATAAGTTGGATAGAGATGGTAGCGATAGATCTAACTGATGTTGTTATTCTAACTGATATCCGGGTTTTCGGTGTTGCAGTCTAATGAAGGAGAAGAGTCATGGAGTGCCCAGCTGGTGTGACCAGCTGTTGAGGGATATGTATGTGAGTGGCAAGCTGCTCATTGTGAAACGCACTGACAACATGCAGCCTGGCGTTGCTGAGGAGAGCCTAACACGCAAACGACAGACACGCAGAGCCAGCATTGCTCCAACCAGCTTAAAGGTGAGAGCCCACATAACAGTAGCGAACGTACCCTTAACAGTATCCTCCGAGGAGTACACTGCATTGATAGTAACGTGAAAGCAGAGTTTACTCGCAAAGTTTTCGTTTTAAAGCACTTAGTGTAAACCGTTAGCATGCAGTGCCAGAAAGTAGTCATTGAATGCCAGGTTTATTTCTAGATTATTGTAGACATGAATTTATTCATATATTTTTTATTCATAGCCTAGGTAATAATTAAAGTCCTTAACATGTGAATGTATTTTTATATCACAAACTACTCTGTTTTAGCTAGGGGTCACCCCTGTTGAAGAAAACAGTGTGGAGGTGCGCAAGGCAGAAGACTATGTGTGTGTCATAGCGCCCGGGGTGGCTCTGGAGCAGATTCAGATGCCTGACTCCATGAAAGGTACATGTATGACAATACATGCACAGTGGTCTACGAGGGGTTTTAACATATATAAGGCCGACAGGTTTGAGTTTTGAGCCGACCGGTTTGAAAATTACCGACAGGTTTGGATTTCAGGCCGACAGGTTTGGATTTCAGGCCGACAGGTTTGAAATATCAAAGCAAGAAACAACACAAACAAAGCAAAATGCAACTGAACTGCACTGTCGAACGGGACGACGTACGCGTAGTCACATCGCGCGCTTGTAGCATACACTATTACAGTCTATTACACTCTTTTACTCTGTGCATGGGCTCCCACTTGTCGGACAGTCGAGGCATACAGTGCGTCTTCTGAGCTGCTTGCTCTGATTCATGCGCACGTGCCTGTGTGTGCGTGCGTGCCTGCGCACATGCCTGCATGCGTGTGTGCGTGCGTGCCTGCGCACATGCCTGCATGCGTGTGTGCGTGCGTGCCTGTGTGTGTGTGCGTGAGTGCCTACGGGCGTGCCTACAGAGACCCGTATGATTATAGAACTGTAATCCATTGAAAATCGTAATGAAATTCTCGCCGGCACACTCGTGTGAGTGTCATTCCTGATTGTAGCTTTTTCCTCAATTTCAGGAAAGAGTTTTGCTGTCATTCTCTCATATTCCAGCGGTGCCCACCCCCTACATTTCAGTAGTGATTAGCACCACACGACTGAAACAATCGTGCCCCCCCCCCGTACTTCAATTAATGCCGCCCCAGCCAGCAGGCATGTATGCAGCGTCGATGTGCACAGCCACAGACGCGTTCCTCGCGGGTCTCTTTTTTCGGCGACCTTTGAAAATATAATGTGAGAATGTCGTGCGATAGAAGGATGTTAGGAATATTACACAATTAGAAATTTTTTAAGTTTAATCGGGCAACTAGCCAAACTAATAACTTGTCTGACATAGACTTTCACTTGTCGTAAAAAAGGTTAAAATACTAGGTTGGCTGTTTGGGCCGGCTGACCGTACCTCTAACAAAGCCCTAGAGTCGACTGCTTGATCAGCAAGAAATGTCACCTATGTTTAACTGGTAACATCCCAGTTGGCCTACTCCCATTTCGCCTACACCAATTTTGCCTACGTCCCATTTCGCCTACTCCCATTTCGTCTACTCTCAGAATCGGCAATATTCCCATTTCGCCTACTCCCATTATGCAGTGGTGGATCCAGAAGTGAATTCTAGGGGTGGGGGCGAATCGTGCGAGCTCAAGGGCCCCCCTGGCTACGCGCCTGGTCGAAACAGCCTGGCCATGGTTGTTCAAAAGTGGATAGCGCTATCCACTGGATAAATCACTATCCAGTGAATACGACTGAATTATCCACTTTTGAACAACTGGTTCATTAAGTGTCTTAATCCAGATGAGACGGGATACTAGAGAAGCGTTGCCGAAAGGAGGTGTTTATCCGAAGTGCTGCGCGATCTTCCGCGCAGTTCCGCGGCAAGGCGCACGCGACCGCGGAAAATTCCTACGACAGTATGCAGCGCTGGCAGCTATGGATCCGTGCGCCGAATGCATAGGCCGCGCACGAATCCATAGCTGCCAGCGAACAGTCCGCAATTTTAGTGGGGGACACAGAGGGCAGACATTTGGAACGGAAACAGTGTTCCACTTGTTAAAAAACTTTGTAACCGGTCATGTGTTCGTATACCGACCCTGTGTCACTGGCGAAGTCACAGAAAGACTGTAGAAAATTCTGACATTCGTCGACGCTATGCCCCAGTAATGAAAGGCTGTCAGAATCAGGAAACACCTACTGCCGGCTCTGTTTCGTCACCTCATTGTCGCCCAACGCCTTGTGAACTTTCTGCACGTTGCAATGGCGAGGTCGCTACAAAGAGTTGCCCAAAGCAGTGCGCCGCCTGCCGCCGCCTATAGCCCATTAGACTGGCACTCCCCGCCCCACCCTCTCGGCCTTAGCTTAGTCACTCGAGGCAATCGAGGTTGGCGAGCGAGTCCTAGTCTATATAGCCTTTGGCACCTCGGCACCTTCTCGAAATGAAGAGTGAGGCCATATATATTAAACATTAAGACTTTCTACCAAAGATTACTTAATGATGGTATTTAATTCGCATCTACTAAACTCACTGCAAACCGCTTCCAAGGCCCGCTGTGTCTAGTATCTAGGGTTATTCTAACTCCCTAGCACAAAGAGCGTTCTCTGGCAGCTACGTTAGTAGTACGTACTACTCATTACTCAGTAGACTAGTACATAAACTACTACTTACTATTACCATGTTAGCTACCGCCCGCTCCTGGTAAACTCATACATCATCTATACTTAGTAGTGCTGGTACTGTTAGGACTCACTACTCACTAGTCACTACTAATTCAGCTAGTAATCTATGTAAACACCTGTACTTCTAGTCCAATTAGAAATTGATTCTTAGCTGTGGAAGTGTACAAAGTCTAATGTTTAAAATAGCGGCCCTGGGCGAAGCAACACCCGAACCGGAAAACTCGTTAGCCAATGCGTTTATCCTATACCAGCTCTCGTTGCCCCCTTAAGATAATCGTATCCTCTAATCCAGCCAGTCACCCAACGCGATTAGCCGCTTATATATTGTTACAATTGCTGAACTAAAAAACTACCGTTATTTATCACAAGAAATGCGCGCCTAGTAGCGAACAACAAATTGGGAGCTTTTCTAGCCCGTCTCTACCTAACTGGGTAGTGCGATCCCTCGTGCAATGCGCAGAACTGCCGATGAGAGCGAAAAGCCGCTTTAACCTAACCCTAGAAGGCACGGCGTATACTGGCGTTGGGAAAAGGCAGCGAAATTGCTAAAATGCGCCGCTACGCGGCGTTTGAGCGCTTCGCGCGGATATCCGGCTGCAGATCGTCCAGTAATCCATGTTTTTCAAAGATCCAAATAGCATTTCTTTTCGCCAGTTTATAAACCACATTGCTGTAGGTTTTACTTTCGTTGCGGTATCTTTGCTGTAAATTTGGTAAGAAGAAGTTTTTCTCATCCATTTTTAATTAACAACTCGCAGCTCGGCCTTCTATCATGGCGGTCACATAACCAAGCATTGTACGTATATTATACATGCTACCCACACTATCAATATAGTTTCACCTTATTGTATATTTATTTGCATTTTTCGCACATTGCTTTATAACATTTTACTGGTTACATTCACACTAGTATACAAATTGAACAATGGAAAATGACTCATCACTCATGACTCTTGACTCAACCGAAATTATTTTGAAATATAGGTCATAAATTTTGTGCAAAAATGCTCCAAAATAATTAAGGCTCAGATTGCACCAGCGAGCATCTAAAACCCCTGAGCTTCCACGGCCCTAGGGCGGGCCCTGCATGGACCCCGGTCGCAAGTGACTTCGCGCTTTGCGCACATAATTTCAAATAACATCAAAAGTACTCCTCTAAAGTTCCCAGTTTTACATGTTTGAAATTTAGGTTGTGGACCATCCTGATACATGTCTCTTACTGTCTACCTACTGCTCTACTACGTCTTATCAGAAGATGGCCTAGTTGATCCTGTCACCATTAGGGTATTCTGTGGGTATTCAGGAGGACTAGAAATGTGCTTGTTTTCACATGTTCTGTACATCCAATTTTACCTGTGATTATTTATGTTTTCTATGTTCTTCTAGGTTGGCAGTGCTTCTCAGTTCTTCTGTACTTCTCATGTTTATTTATATTATCCGCACTTATCATTTAATTTTATCAATATTATTATTATTAGCTCGGCTGACGAAGTCGGATGCAGCTTGTATAATCGCATGAATGTCCGTCCGTGCGTCCGGCCGTCAGTCCGTGTGTCAATTAACAGTTACGGCACAAATCTTTACCGCTCGACGTACGGTCTTGATATTCGGGACGTCGGGGGGGATCGCGAAAAGGAATCGGGATGGCGAATTTGGGGGTCAAGGGTCAAAGGTGAAGATGTGTCAATGGAGGGGGAATATTTCCCCCTTAACTTAAGGTATAAGAGGAAATACGGAATTGCGGCACAAATCTCAACGGCTCGACCTACGCTCTTAATATTCGATGTATATAGTGTGATGGGGAGGAAACCCATCACCAGCGCGAAATTGGAGGTCACAGGTGAAAGGGCAATGGCGGAAAGGTCAGATATCAGACATTTTCTGAGGACATGGTCTAACGGACCGAGTGAAAAACTTTTTTGTTTCAGTGCTGACCTACCATTTTTATCACTTTATTGAAAGGACCATGAAATGTATTTTCTACTGACGTGCGAAGAGTAAGTGTCTGATGACCTTTTGCCCTTCAAAGGGTAGTTTAACCTTTTGACTGTCAACAAATAACTGAACTGCTTTTGCTAGTAGAGCCCCCGTCCAACCTGCCCTCCTCCTCCCCCTCCCCCTCGCCCTCCCCTCCCCTCCCCGCTCCCCTCCCCACCACCCTGTTATCAGAAGAATACCCGGCTACAGGTACACGTCAGTTGAGTGCCCGCGACGCTGTCGCCTCTGCTGCCACTTGTTAGTTTATCCACCTTTGTTGTATATAGGCATGCTACTAGCCAGCAAAAATGGCACTCGATTGAAAGCCATTCGACCGAGGCCTGCGGAGGTGGAAATGAGTGCGGTCCGTGCATTGGCATGTCGTTCACCACGCCGATACATACTTGAGCGCATCATAGCCTCGATGCGAAAGCCCGCCCGGCAAGATAGTGCTGCCCTCCAGCGTCTCATGGAGAGAAACAAGACACTGGAGTGTGCGAATATTGCTCTAGCACCCAAGGATAATGCAGCTAGCTATGTTACTGGACAAGGAGCTGCTCTGGTCATTTGTGGCACAACAGACAAAGCCAACGGCCTCGCTGATGCGGTTCATCAGCGTGAATGGTTGCAGCGCGCAATAATTTTCCGGCGTATCGCCATCGCAATTCGCGCGATGTATTTTCAGCCATTGGCTACGCAATTTCTTTATTGATCCGCGAGTTGTGCAGGATGCAGCCCATGCGAGATTGAGTAAACGGAAAACATACATGTGTTACAAGTTTACTTTTATTCTCGGGCTGCTTTATCCCGTGCAATGCAAAAATGCCACGGTATACAGCCGGATTCATTATTGACTTGGTTAAACACCGAAGGCCCAACTCGTTGACTTGAAACGAATCCTGCATCCCCCCCCCCCGACATCAAGTCAATATGCGCCCCCAAGCACGGTGGAGTACACAGGCTACGCTGTGCTGGCGCTGCCACGCTCTCGGCCGGGCCCTGCTTTCCTTCGGCGACCTTGATAATATAAGAGTGAAGGATGTCCGGTTGGTCGAGGAGCTCGCCGATAGCCGGTACCTTCAGCAATCCCTGAAACTGTATTTCATCAAGTGTTTGGAATGATAACGCTAACGGAACCAACATTTAATTAAAGTTTAAGAAATTACTGTTTATACTCGCCAACATGGCGCGAGTCAGGCTTTAGCTTTCAACTCGCGCCGGCCCGAATATTAATTTTCACTCGACATGCGACGGTGGCCGCGGGCGCGGATGTGGCCAAGCGTCGCACGCTGTTTTAAACGCTGCCCGGGCAGCCATTACAGGAATCGCGTAGTGTGGCTACGGCTTAAGCTAGCTGTGCCTGTCACAGGCAGACACGCCAAGCATGCACTGCGGTGTAAATTTGCACTGTGATTGTCTGAAAAAAAATGGTATACAAATTTATCCAATTGCTATGCAAAATTTATTTTGTATAGCACATTTGCTATGCAAATTTTTGGCTGGAAATTGTTCCCTGGGTTGTACAAATGTATTCTAATCGATGAAGAATGATGACGATATGTCACTGTTGTTCCTGCTGCTCGCCTTATCCCATCAATTTGAAAACACTCCCTGTCCGATCATGTCACAGTCATTCGATGACGCCCGAAAATCGATTTGGTGTCATTTATTGATGGCTTTTTTTGCAACGACCCATAGCAAGTTCCACTGAGAATACATACCGTAATGTTATCTCGATGACAAGTACTGAATGACAACAAGAATGCCATATATAATGTAATATAGTCGTGTGTAAGTCTAGGGAGTGTATGAGCTGAGTCTATGTCGCTGTCTTCAGGTTCAAGACAGCACTGATGCATGAGACGGCCTATGAGGTACTGCTGGAGAACCAGCGCATCGAGCTTCACGTCACCTGCGCTCGCTTTCTCGAGAACCAGACCTACAGGTGCCTGCCATGCGGCGGCAGCGACTTTGTACCAGCCACCCACCTGCAGAGCACCACCACTGGCAAGTCCCTGCGCCCAAAGAGCGGAAGACCGATAGGGACTCACCGAGTTAGTGGTCGTGCCGCCGGCGGCAACAGCCACATGCCGAATGGCCCGAGGCCCAAGAAGCAGCAAAATGTCACGTTTGCTACCGAGAGAGAAGTGATCGCGGCCAGTGGAGAGGTCTTGACATCACCAGAAGGTATATGGATGTTATGCCTTTGATGCTGGTGAAGATATAATGCTTATTAATGCCTGGATGTAATCGTCCCTCGCGAAGCACTTGGGCATTTTTGCAGGCAATGGCGCCTGACTTCAAGTATTGATAGAATTTTACTAGGTATACTATAGACATTCGTTCTGTTCATCGAAGAGGCTGCAAAGTCACCTGGTCTTTTAAGAACCAACCACACTGTGGTAGGCATACTTGCTCGAAAATCGCAAGAACTCTGGTTGTTCAACGAAGGTCATAGTCCAAATGTTGGAGGTTGAATATCGGCTTATATTTAAAGAATGGACGTCCTGCTACTAGTGATGTCACGATCATTGGTTGAACAGTGGCTCGAACCAAGCGCTTGGTTATCAAAATCCATAATCGATTTCATCGAAAAATAAAATAAAAATAAAATGAAAATTTCGAAAAAGTGATGAGAATCAGAGATATCATCGCTACTATACAAGTTATCCTGTATAACACACATGTATTATACACACAGTAGTAAACAGTGCAAAACAAACAGTAAACAGGGCTAAACAAGCACATACATGCACACACGTACATGCACACGACGTTACGCACACGCAGGCATTCAACACCCCGTGTAACCGATTGTAACCGATCATCGGTTACTTGGGTCCAACCGATGATCGATTACGAAATTACAACCGATTGACAACACTACCTGCTACTGTATATAACTGGTTTAATGTGTTGCAGTTCAGCAAGACAGCGATTCCAGTGCAGTTCCCACTTTTTCCTGGCTGCTGAAGTTGTTCAGAAACCCAAATCCTGGTGCGAAGCCATTTGGGTCTGACGAGAACCTCGCTGAGAATGATGACAACGAAGAAGAGGATGTGGATGAGCAAAACACTGATGCAGTCAGAGGCCTGAGGAGGAGGTCGTCTTTTGGAGGAGCACTAGGGTGAGGAGTATTTCTTAGTTTAGGAGCTTATGTCAGGTGAACGTTTGATCTGAGTATAGGTGTCAAGTAGGCAACTTAGCTGCAAGAGATGTACTCGATGTGTGAGGCAGTTATCATTTAGAACGATGGTTTAATTAAAATAAATTTAAACAAAGGCAGTAAAGTCTTTGTAAGGTGACAGCTAGGTTCCAGCTGTGACAATTCTCTTACAGTAAGGAAAATCCTTACGTGAATTCAATTATCTTACAGTGAGAGGGGTGGAGGAGCATCTCAACATAGTGGTTACTAAATAAATAAATACATTTTTAAACTATCAAACTGATAATAATGGCTTAGCTTATAAAATCTGTGCATTATTTGAGTGTGTAAGTGTACAGTTTTCTAAATTACGTGAAAATTTGGCATATTGCTATATTTTACTGAAACATAATATGATTGCATTTTTCTCCCCAAATTAATTTTACGACCACCTAATAAAACATATCTCACATATCTCAGCACGCGTGCGATATACAGTTCTTACATTGTGATGCTCGTGTGCATCCCACTCGCGTGGTTTAAGCAAATTACGAATGTCGTAAACATTAAGCGGCATCATGTCAGTGCAGTCTATAATGTAATCTTACCTGCTCGATGCAGAGAGGATTCTGCCTTCGAGACAGAGGATGTTGACTTAAGAAACTGCCAGTGCAACGAGGTTTTGGCATATGTCTACCCACAGTTGGTGAGGCACTGGCGGGCGGCCGGTCGCAGCGGTAAAACTGTGCACGCTCTGACTGAGGCTGGAGCTGCCGGCATCGCCACCGGTGCCTGTGCGCAGGTACTCATCACTATCAGTTAATGCCGCTCACATCTGTACCCAGCAAGGTGGATGTGTGCATCGGCAACATGCATACATGCAGAGATTTCACTGTGAAGGATCAATGGGAACAGACACAATAGGTCGATGTGTTAAATAATTCAACATAACTGTCATAATTTTACGTATTAATTAGTGAGGTTAGTACAGGGATTTATGAAATTATTTGCTTTATTAAATGTACTATGTTGTTGTTTGCTATATGTTTACTATAGTTACACTTCACGTGCTAAATCTTAGTAGCCTAGCTGATTGAACGTAGTCTGTTACTTGGCGTTCTGTCGCGTCTGTGTAGAACTTTAATTGTTGAATTTTACTAGCTGTATTCTTGTTAAAAATACAATATTTGGCCAATTACTATTTGCATTAATGTAATGATGCATGTTTTCATAAAAGCTTAACATGGTAGAAAGCTAACTGCATGCAGCTACACTGATTCAGCAAATATAAGATGCTAGCAGATGGGATTTTTTTTATTGCCTGGACATCTCTGTAAGAGTTATATTGATCTGGCACTTGTGGGGTTTATACCTCTGGCTATGTTTATGGAATAGAGCTGAAATATGCCTGGTGCGAACTGGTGCATGTTGCTATACAGTGTTATTATGAGACATGCAGTGATGCCTATATGATTTCCAATGTTCCCAAAACACGTTTTTGCATGTCTTTCTTCATAATAACAGACAAAGGGCTTATCCACTGACTGCTCGTCTTATATTAAATTGAAACGAGTTTAGTAGGTGCAAAATAAACGGGGTTATTCACCCAATTTAATGTTCTGTTACAATACACACATATTTAGATACATGGTGACATAAATAGACAGGTATGGTCACACAGCAATGCAGAAAACTAGTGTGAAACACAATTTCACACTGCGGTGTTATTTCTGCATTGCCAGGCGCTTTCCCATCTCTATGAAGCAGATCAGCTCATTAAGGACAATGTTGCCCAGAAGAATGCTGAGGAGGAGGCAAAATGGACCGCGCTCGAGGAGGGTAAGGAGATAGTGGAGGAGAATCTACTGTTGAAGAAGCCTCTTGATGACATAGCCATCACAGTTCTGAGCGAAGGCAGAGTGCAGAGTCTTATTGGACAGGTACAGCCTACATGACCTGGTGACCTGTGACGTCACACAACCCCTTGGCTAACTACGAACTCGCTTATTGCCAGCTTAAGTTGTTGACACTTTACTACTTTAGAAGTTAGATCTAGTAATACATTACACCCCTGCCAATACATAATAAAGTGTGTGTAGATTCTGAACAAATTCTACTACTCCATTTCAATTTATCTGTTTTATACAATTTCTCGCAAAATATGTCCATCTCCCTAAACGTACGTGGTCCACATGTTATTTTCCCAAAGGCTTTGCTGGACAGTGGGAGGCACGACGAGGCAGAGGGGCACTTCCTAGCATCGTTGAAGGCACTGGGCTGTCCCCAGCCAACGAGTATGGCCAGCACTCTGGCAAAGATTGTTAGTGAGCTGATTAGGCAGTACCTGCATCGGGAATACCTGGGGAAGTTCTTTTCCACCTGCAGGTGAGTGAGTGGCTCAAAATGTTACCTCGTTTATTTAGCATCATGTGTCAAAGATATTATGAGGAGACGTCGTGGAACTGTAATGTGCTAGCTGCTTACTATTACGTTTATATCCAATACATCTGCCTTACATTATGATCTATCCCAGTGCATGGTTTTAAATTTAGTTAGTGCAGCCCTCCTGGGACTATCTAGGAGCCACTAAGAGACAAGTGGTACGTGTATACAGTGTCCGTGTAGGGACCATTATGTATGAGTTTATGGAGCCATAGGGTCAGTGGCATAAAACAAATTTGGAGACCACTGATCTAGCTTTTATGTGGAAGTTGCCTACCCCACTACTCGTGAGCTTCACTAAAGAAGGTGGGAACTTTCTAATCTAGATTTTAAGAATTCAGCTAGAACATTAACGGTTGGTCCTTTTTTGTTTAGCCACCTCCATGAAACACTGATGCTTTAATAACGTGTGCTGTGAATGAAAGACATCAATGAATTATAAATATAATGAATCATTTTGCTCCATTATACACACATCCCCATTCTCACCACACGCCAGTACCTACAACTATGACTACCTGGTCGAACACACCCGCTGCCTGTCGAACCTGTGGCAGGTGTACGAACAGCAGAACAGGAAGCAGAGATGCTACTTAGCAGCACTGCAGGCTGTCAACATCGCTGAAGAGGTCGGCAAGGATTTTCACCAGGTGAAGCCTAGCTCACGGTGTCGCAGCATTCGACTTCCGTGCTTATACGTATTTACGTACTATGTGTAGAATCTGAATGTGTTAGATGTATGTGAGGTCATATATTAGATGTATAATACGTGTTACCATAATGATTTTGTATGTAGATACCAGTTCGCCTGCCGCAACTTGGCGATTGGGCAACTTGTAAATTGGACTTGTATTTAAAGAAAATGTAGTTTCTTTCGCATCTTTGATATCATGTACGTTGGCTTCTCTAGAATTTATTTGGTAGTTTCGTGTCTTCTTCTTTAGAACTTATTTAAGCTTTTTTTACCCTGGAACCATTTTGATGGTTTTCCTTTTGTGTGATAGTATCTATTATTTTGTGTCCTCATTCTGCCGCTAACGATTTATTCAATTTTGTCAAAACGTTTGTGTGCAGTATCATGGCTGCAATGTGTTTTTAAAAGTCGTTAATCATTGCCTGCACTGTAATGATTATTGCCTGACTTCTACTCGCAGTTGATAATTGCCTACACTTTAATGATGGTGACATGCAGCAGCAGGTGTGAGCATGAGAAAGTGGAGTTATACGAAGGATTGGCTATGAAGAGGTAAAATCTCCCACATTTATTATTGCTACTGAATGCGATATTGATTGCAAATGTCTATTTATGACGCACACTGATACACTGATACACAGTTAACTTCAGATTTCAGATTCTTTATTTAGCACATAACTTTGTTAAACAACAATACAGCTAGTGTATGATAGTTATAACGTGAGATTACAAATAAAAAAGAATAGTGAACTTACTAACAAATGAGTGCTGTGAGGGTCAAAGTAGCACTAGGCTTTCGAGTCGACCCCCACGTAAACTCATCTAAAAGTTGTCAAGTTGTGTCTTTATAATGTATAAGACAAGTGGAAAACTATATTTAAAATTAGAAAATTAATAGGCCAATTTACCTGTAAGCTATTTAGAAAGGATTAGGATTAATTTTGGGAAATATCACATTTCTGTTATAAATTATTATGTAAGCATCCAAGTAGCTTCTAGTATCACCTTTAATTACATATATTATTTCAATCATTTTAGCATGATCACTTAGTGTGATTCCAGTTGGATTCAAAATGACTCGGGTTAAAAATTCATGGATGATAACTTAAGTGAACTTTGTTATAAAATGTTCACAATTTATAGTTATTATAATCATGGCTGTAACAATATATTATATATTGTTATGGGTGAGCTGTGGCAATATAGGCTCGAAGTATAAGGTTGTGGGATGCGTTATGATTACATAATGAGGACATCATTAATAATAATGGATGCTATTGTAGGTGTTATGTGCTACAAGACACACTGGAGGCAGACGACATGGCAACAGTTGCCCATATGTTCAGTGAGAGTTTAGAAGCTAGCCTTATGACTGGCAGGATTGATCAAGCAATCAAGTCTGGTACATATGGCTTTCTTTTCCTTCTTATTTTTATCATAATTATGATAACACACAAAGGTGTCTAAATTAGTTCTTCTTACTGGAAATCCCAATAAAAGAAAAGCATTATGTATGAAGTCGTACATAAACCAACTTTAGAGTTAGCTATAGGTTGTGCCAATTAAGTGATAGGTGGAGTAGTATATTACTTCGTAGAGTGTGCACATCATTTGTTCTACCGCTCCTTGATGGTTTCCTTGTGTAGGAATGAAGGCTAATAAGATAACAGATAGGCTACGAGATAGCATGATGAAGCTAAGGGCTCAGCCTACACTTGCACGTTCTCTTATTCTTGCTGGAAGGTATGTTTTATGGACTATATGTTAAAAAATTATCTTAAAAATCTTTGCTTAATTGCGCGTAAAGTAAGCAGGGCAGTACACAGCACAGAGTAGTGTACATGAGCACAGTAGAGGACCTGTCATTACCCAGATTGTTTTTTTGACTGAACGTCATTATTTGTAGCCAGGGTTTTAATTGGGCAGTATAGAGATGTGCCATGACATAAAATTTGAAAGAGATAGGTAGGTAAAAAAAATTCTCACTGTATCTTGTCTATTTTCACGGGTACTCATGTCAGCCGCCTGCATGTTGTCTGCTAAACAGGTACTCAACCTGCGTAGACATCCTTCACGGACTGCTGTATGCTGCTGGCAATGCAGGGGACACCACTGGCCAAATTTGGTACTATGCTGGTTGCTTTGATATCGCCCTAGAAGCAGGTAAATGTTTACTATGGTTAGGCATCCAACTGCGTTTTTGTTTATTGTTCGCTGTATCTCAAGGCAGAAAGAACCTATTTGTAAGAATTACGCTGTCTACTATAGTGATATGCCAATGGTAGCTTTTCTAATAACAATATGTCCCACAGCTAGGCTAAACCTTAAATCTCATTCATTTCGTTACTCTCACTAATTTATCAGACTAAAAGTTATTGGTAGCTTGATTTCTGTTAAGTGAATGATGCTAAAGATAAATATGAGAATCAAAACTGCCTGTCATCACTGTTTCTTGGCCAAGTGAAACTGTATGCTTTTGCATGACACTTTGATATAGTCAGCTATTACATTTGCAAGAGTATGCCTGCTAGATGTGACTACTATGTGCTTGCTTGCATTTATGTAAATTAAATGTGAATCAATTGAGAGATATTTTTGAAACGAGATTTCAAGGGAAGGTTTCATCAATCAGATTTCTGTATATACTATTTCTCAGGGTTTCAGGTTGAAACGTTTGATGACTGCAAGGAGTTTGTGTGCTCGTCTGTGATTGCCGATATTACCTTCTCACCTTCTCCTATACCAAAGTTCATCCTAATGGCATGCATGGCTCTCTGGTGAGCACATCACAAGGCATACCTCTCGACTTGAGAAAAGAGTGGTATTTGTATCCACCTTTTGAGGGGAGGCACATTCGTATACGCCTCAGAGAATTGTTGTTTGCATGTAAATCAGAGGATGGGGTGTACACATAAGAAGGGAAGAGTGTTAAGATACACCTTAGAAGGAAAGGGTGTTGATATACACCTCCAAAGGAAGGGGTGTTCATATACATCTCAGAAAGGGGGTGTTTATATACACCTCAGAAAGGGGGGTGCTTATATGCACCTCAGAAAGGGGGTGGGTTCAAATACACCAGAAAATGGGTGTATATATGCATCTCAGAAGGGAGAGGTGTGCTCATATACACCTCAGAAAGGGAAGTGTGTTCATATACACCTCAGAAAGGGAGGTGTGTTCATATACACCTCAGAAGGGAGGTGTGTTCATATACACCTCAGAAAGGGGGTGTTTATATGCACATCAGAAAGGAGGGTGGGTTCAAATACACCAGCAAAGGGGTGTATATATGCATCTCAGAAGGGAGAGGTGTGCTCATATTATATACACCTCAGAAAGGGAGGGGTGTTCAGATACACCTCATGAGGGAGGGTGTTCAGATACACCTCAGGAGGGAGGGGTGGTCCGATGCACCTCAGGAGGGAGGGGTGTTCAGATACACCTCAGGGGGAAGGGGTGTTCAGATACACCTCATGAGGGAGGGGTGTTCAGATACACCTCAGGAGGGAGGGGTGGTCAGA